GCGTCACCTAGCGGTGCTTGTAGGACATAATCTTTCTTGGCAGCTATGAGGATGATCCTCAGGTTCTAGACCCAGTCCGTGTAGTTGCTGCCATCGTCTTTCAGCTTGGTTTTCTCTAGGAACGCGTTGAAGTTGAGGACTACGTTGGCCATTTGATCTACAAGACATATTGTAAAAATTTTAGACTAAGTTCATGATAATTAAGTTCATCTAATCAAATTATAATGAACTCCCACTTAGATAGACATCCCTCTTCTAGTCATCTAAGTATAACATGATCCGAGTTAGCTAGGCCGTGTCCGATCATCACATGAGACGGACTAGTCAACGTCGGTGAACATCTTCATGTTGATCGTATCTTCTATACGACTCATGCTCGACCTTTCGGTCTTCTGTGTTCCGAGGCCATGTCTGTACACATGCTAGGCTCGTCAAGTCAACCTAAGTGTTTGCATGTGTAAATCTGTCTTACACCCGTTGTATGTGAACGTTAGAATCTATCACACCTGATCATCATGTGGTGCTTCGAAACAACGAACTGTCGCAATGGTGCACAGTTAGGGGGAACACTTTCTTGAAATTATTATGAGGGATCATCTTATTTACTACCGTCATTCTAAGCAAACAAGATGAAAAACATGATAAACATCACATGCAATCAAATAATAATAGTGACATGATATGGCCAATATCACATAGCTCCTTTGATCTCCATCTTGGGGCTCCATGATCACCTTGTCACCGGCATGACACCATGATCTCCATCATCGTGTCTCCATGAAGTTGCTCGCCAACTATTACTTCTACTACTATGGCTAACGCGTTTAGCAATAAAGTAAAGTAATTTACATGGCGTTTCTCAATGACACGCATGTCATACAAAAAATAAAGACAACTCCTATGGCTCCTGCCGGTTGTCATACTCATCGACATGCAAGTCGTGATTCCTATTACAATAGCATGAACATCTCATACATCCCATATATATCATTCATCATTCATCACAACTTTGGCCATATCATATCACAAAGCACTTGCTGCAAAAACAAGTTAGACGTCCTCTAATTGTTGTTGCAAGTTTTACGTGGCTGAAATAGGATTCTAGCAAGAACGTTTTCTTTACCTACGTGAAAGCCACAACGTGATTTGTCAACTTCTATTTACCCTTCATAAGGACCCTTTTCATCGAATCCGCTCCAACTAAAGTGGGAGAGACAGACACCCGCCAGCCACCTTATGCAACTAGTGCATGTTAGTCGGTGGAACCGGTCTCACATAAGCGTACGTGTAAGGTTGGTCCGGGCCGCTTCATCCCACAATACCATTGAAGCAAGATAAGACTAGTAGCGGCAAGAAAGTTGACAACATCTACACCCACAACAAATTGTGTTCTACTCGCGCAAGAAGAACTACGCATAGACCTAGCTCCTGATGCCACTGTTGGGGAACGTTGCAGAAAACAAAAAATTTCCTACGGTTTCACCAAGATCCATCTATGAGTTTATCTAGCAACGAGTGGTTAGATGCATCTACGTACCTTGTAGATCGCGAGCGGAAGCGTTCAAAGAACGGGGATGAGGGAGTCGTACTCGACGTGATCCAAATCACCGGAGATCCTAGCGCCGAACGGACGGCACCTCCGCGTTCAACACACGTACGGTCAGCGTAACGTCTCCTTCTTCTTGATCCAGCAAGGGGGAAGGAGATGTTGAGGAAGATGGCTCCAGCAGCAGCACGACGGCGTGGTGGTGATGGAGCTGCAGTACTCCCGCAGGGCTTCGCCAAGCACTATGGAGGAGGAGAAGGTGTTGGAGAGGGAGAGGGAGGCACCAAAGGCAAAAGGTAAGAAGTCCTCCATCTCCCCCACTATATATAGGAGGGCCAAGGGGGGGGGGCGCCGGCCCTAGGAGATCTAATCTCCTAGGGGGGTGCGGCCAAGGGGAGGAATCCCTCCTCCCCAAGGCACCTAGGAGGTGCCTTCCCCTCCTAGGACTCTTCCTCCCTTGAAACCCTAGGCGCATGGGCCTCTTGGGGCTGGTTCCCTTGGCCCATGTAGGCCAAGGCGCACCCCCTACAGCCCATGTGGCCCCCCGGGACAGGTGGACCCACCCGGTGGACCCCCGGGACCCTTCCGATGGTCCTGGTACAATACCGGTGACCCCGAAACTTGTCCCGATGCCCGAAATAGTACTTCCTATATATAATTCTTTACCTCCGGACCATTCCGGAACTCCTCGTGACGTTCGGGATCTCATCCGGGACTCCGAACAACATTCGGGTTACTGCATATACATATCCCTACAACCCTAGCGTCACCGAACCTTAAGTGTGTAGACCCTACGGGTTCGGGAGACATGTAGACATGACCGAGACGAATCTCCGGTCAATAACCAACAACGGGATCTGGATACCCATGTTGGCTCCCACATGTTCCTCGATGATCTCATCGGATGAACCACGATGTCGAGGATTCAAGCAACCCCGTATACAATTCCCTTTGTCAATCGGTATGTTACTTGCCCGAGATCTGATCGTCGGTATCCCAATACCTCGTTCAATCTCGTTACCGGCAAGTCACTTTACTCGTACCGTAATGCATGATCCCGTGACCAGACACTTGGTCACTTTGAGCTCATTATGATGATGCATTACCGAGTGGGCACAGTGATACCTCTCCGTCATACGGAGTGACAAATCCCAATCTTGATCCATGTCAACCCAACAGACACTTTCGGAGATACCCGTAGTATACCTTTATAGTCACCCAGTTACGTTGTGACGTTTGGTATACCCAAAGCACTCCTACGGTATCCGGGAGTTACACGATCTCATGGTCTAAGGAAAAGATACTTGACATTGGAAAACTCTAGCAAACGAACTATACGATCTTGTGCTATGTTTAGGATTGGGTCTTGTCCATCACATCATTCTCCTAATGATGTGATCTCGTTATCAATGACATCCAATGTCCATAGTCAGGAAACCATGACTATTTGTTGATCAACGAGCTAGTCAACTAGAGGCTTACTAGGGACATGTTGGTGTCTATTATTCACACATGTATTACGATTTCCGGATAACACAATTATAGCATGAATAAAGACAATTATCATGAACAAGGAAATATAATAATAATGCTTTTATTATTGCCTCTAGGGCATATTTCCAACAGGAGGGAGATCCAACTATCTCCCGTGAACGCCGGGAAGCGACCATTGAAGTTGCCAAGCAGCACTTCAACTGGGAGCTGCGCAATTTGGGCCGGAGGATCTACTTCGAGAGCAATGCGGAGGAGAGAGCCAGGATGCCGCCCCCAAGTGCATCGGCGTTCGATATCATCAGCTGGGGAACGGCGGAGGCGAAAACTCCAGCTGGCAAGGCAAGGTGGGAGTGCTTGAACGGTCGGATGCCGACCAGCGTTCCGCCTCCACCGAAACCGGTGGATCCGCTGTCGTATCTGTCTCCACGGCCAGGCCTAACATACGAGGGGGGGGGGGGAGGTTTATCCAACCTATAAACATGTCTATTGGATATGCATCTATGTTTTAGTAGGGGTTGTCAAACTATGTGGACAAGTTTGCTATTTGCTATTTCCTACTTATGAATCTATGTGTAAACTGTTTGATATTTGCTATGTGAAACCTTTATTAATATGTGAGCTCATATATTGTTGTTATATTTGTGAAACTTGCTGTGATATTGATGTTATTGAATTTGAAAATAAGCAACCAAATGAATTTGAAAAAACAAAACAGAGGACCCTACCGCCAGGCACCCTGGCGGTAGGGTTAGACATCCTACCGCCAGCCCCTATGGCGGTAGGGTGAACCTACCGCCAGGGTCCTTGCATATTTCGTTACATAAAGTTTGTACGGCAAAACCCTGCCACACCTTACTGCCAGTGGCTCTGACGGTAGGTTTAGACCGCCTACCGCCAAGGCCCCTGGCGGTAAGGTACTATCCACGTCAGCACAGGCAAACGGCCGCCGTCCCCCTCCGTCACACGATACCGCCAGGGGCTCAGGCGGTATGTTGTGTAACCCTACCGCCAATGGCCCTGGCAGTAGTAAAAGGGTCAAATCCCGAAAATATTCCAAACCGGGGTCAGATCCTGATTTTTTAGAACCCTGCATATGGTTTCAAGTAGATATATACAAACTCATGCAGATGACCAAATAGTGCATCATCTCTGAGCGAAGGCGTCGTCTCACGTAAAATGCTCTGGAGTACGCCTTCCTAAGAGCAAGTATAATAGATCCTACTCAGCAGGCTATAAGCTGCGCTGGAGGAGAGAGGAAGCAGGAGAGAGACGAGAGCTGGCGCTCCATCTAGCGCCCGGCTGCAGCACAATATACGAGCAGATATAGCCTGCATGCAGCCTGTGTGAAGGCTAAAAGCCAGGGTTTCTTCCCACCAACGAATCATGTGAGTGTTTTTTCCTCAGTCCACATGCAAGGATTGAGTGCTATAGCCAGCCTAGCAATTAATATACTAAGTCGAAAGCCCCGCAAAAAAAAAAAGCCCATTGTATGAGTATGGTTGTAGGAAGACTATAAGATGATATGGCACTAGTATATAGCCGATAGCGGGCTTTTATATTAACCATGCTCTAAGTCGAAAGCCCCGCAAAAAAAAAAAAGCTCTAAGTCGAAAGCGGTATCAAAGGTGCGGTAGATCGTCGCGCGGAATCGGGCCCGCTCGTCAGCGAGGCAGGCAGAGTCCACGGGGTCAAAGCGAACTCTGTCTGTC